CAGCCCAGCGGTTCCCAAACTCGACAGCTCGTCCCGAGATAAATCTGAAGATTTGGAGGGTTCCACCAATTTAGCAACGCTCTACTATAACAATGTCAGACTCACAAAAGTATCAAAATTGACCAACCATTCTTCTTCCTTGTCAAAACCTGGCGCCTACATTTCCCACAATGCAACTCGCCCACTGACAGTTTCAGGTGTGCTGTGCTAGTAGCAGCTAATGTAGCCTAAAGCCGTTACCCTCTAGCAGAGATGCCGAGCGATCACTTCTTTCTAACTAACTTCACGCCCCCCAGATTTTTTTTTCCAGTTTCAAACTTGTAGTCTTCAGCCCCAACTGACGTTGACTCAAGTGACATCACTTGAGGCAGTTAATCAGATTTAGCGCAGCTCTCTTTGGAGCCACAAAAAGGTTTTATTATGCAATATTTTTTCACATATGCAGCACCAAGACCTGCAAAACACTCCCCATTAAAGTGATTAGAAACTATTAATAACACAGAGCTGCCTGAAAACGAAACAAATATGGATGCCTCACATCAGCCAAAAAAAACATTGTTCAATGCAATTAAACCAAGAATTTAATGGATACGATGTTATATTGTCAGTGCACTGTATTTTAATTCTCACATGAACAACTCTGTATTTATACAACTGTCTTGATGGTGTAAACGCTCACAAGTTGTTAACACAGGAATCGTTCCCATCTCTACCATCCATCATCCCACAAAACATGAATGCAGCATGAGGCCATAACCTGAGGGGGTCACAAGCCAAAAAGGTTGGGAACAACTGCTCTAGCATACTCTAAATACCTGACAGACCAACACTGCCTATGAATGTCAGCCACCTGCAAGACGTTAAACAATCACAATCAACTGTGCAAAAGTCAGATTCATAATTTTTGTATTACTGCGGGTTATGCAATGTCTTCCACAAAAGCACTTGTCAACCTAAGTTTGTGCAGTCACAAGCCCACACTTCCTAAAACTCTTTGTGATTGTTCCTCTCCGGTCTCTCATCTCCCTTGCAATTAGCTTTGCGGCTGCCGCGTGTGTACTCCAAAAAAAAAGAAAAGCATGCACTTAAGAAGACGAGGTCGTAGAAAACAAACTCCGGAAGCCTCTGATTGACAGATCTGTCTGCCCACTCTAGTTCCCTGGCTAAAGCCGTGGCTGCTGTGGCTCTGCTGTGGTTGCCACTGGTCTGTGCCTAAAGACATCTGACGCAAGGCCATTTCTAGGTTACAATAACAACACCACACTGACACTGCAACGCCGGATATCCGAAACACTTAGGAACTCATTCAAGACATATTTAGTCGGAGGCTTGTAAATAACTGGTGCCCCCCTACAGAACACCAATACATTTTTTTCATTGAACATTTTGTCCTCACAATGCCATATATATTTATCCTCTATACAGTTCTCTACAATGCCATATATATTTATATTTATCCTCTATACAGT